CGCTGAGGCACACAAGCAGCCATAGGTATCTATAATGCTACTGGCCTTGAACTTGGTCAATCTGACAGTTCGGCCATCAGGCAACTTATGTTTGAGCACCTTCTTATCCCAATCGAACTAGGGCTTAGCAACTTTGAGGTAGTACATGCCTAACAACATGTCGAATGGTAAGTCGTCGCTAACCAAGAACGAGATCTTATGGTTAAGCTCTCCTCCTCCATAGGAGAAGGTACAGACTACGTCCTTGATGTAGTCTGATACACTCATGCACTCCTTATTGGCCAAAGTAGATGCTATTGGTCTACTAAGGTGCCGTACCCGGTCTTGTAGGTGCAGCCTTTCCAAACAGTCGCGACTTATGTAATTCCACGTGGAGCCTATGTCTTTGAAGGCACCACATTTGCGGCCTCCTACATCGACCTCCACCACAAAATGTTCCCCTCTAGGACCTTTCCTTGGCGCCACCCAAGACTCGCGAGGGTCCTTGTTTGACCACTCACTCTCCAAGTCTTCTAAGGCCTCAGACACATCTAACGTACAGAGCATAGTTTGGTCTAGATGAGTCTGCGGGGTGACTATGGAGTCATTAGCTTTGGCCATCTCGTGAAGTGGGGAGGTTATCTGGCCCACTTCACCAAGAGTAGAAGCAGCTAAAACTTCCACTGGCCTCACGCGTTTCCCGAGCTAGAAGCCTGGGAATAAGTTGCCCCCATCTTTGGAGCTACCTTTTGCGTAACCTTAGCGTTCTGGCACTTGTACTGCGAGTGTCCGTATTCCACGCAGTTGATACAAGCGCCACGCACTCAGCAATCACACCACACGTCTTGATCAAGACCTGCCTTGACCCAAGCAGCCTGCTTGGTCTGATTGGAGGCGGCCTTCCCTTGACTCCTGGGTTGGCCCTTCCCTCGGCCACCTGCCTTAGTCTTTACTACTGCGGCGAGGGTGCTACCCTCAGCGGTCTCCTCGTCGTCGTACTCTGAGTAGTCCTTTAGGTCAGTGAGCTCGTCAATCTCTGTTTGAGTCCCATCGGACTCAACCATCATCAACTTAGCCCCCTTCTTCTTCCACTCCTGAGGACTCTTCTTCTTCTTCGTGTCAATCTGAGAGGTTGGTTGAGCATTGCCTAGCGTGGCCTCCAAATCTAAGGTTTTCCTAGACAGTGTCTCAAACGAATGGTACTCAGTGCGTGCCTCGCTGGCCAACAAGTTCCTGATGTTCTCTGGTAAACATCTAACAAACGTAGTTAACAGAAACTGGTCACTGTAATTGATGCGTGGGACGAGGATCAGGCTCTCAACGGTAGTCGTAAGCTCTCTGACTGACTTAAATTTTCGTTGGTCTAACTTGTTAATCGCATCAGTGGCCCTTTGCACCTCATGTGGATTATGCCATCGAGCTTCTACCATTTCCATGAACTGGTCTAACGTCAGAGACTTAGCCCAGTCCGCCATGCGTCTCCCATACCCGGCCTTTACAACTACCCCATCTAGCCACTTGGCTGCCTTACCCTCAAGGTAAGATGCAACGGTAACCACTTCGTCCTCTAGCAAGGTCCTCTTGGCCTTTACCCAAACCGGGACTGTCCTCAACCATGTGTTGAGTTCCTCGTCCTTCCTTTCGCCTGAGAAGGCAAGAGGCGGTTTCATTGGGGTCTTGGGGTACCATTGACCTTGCTGTTGTCCCTGTTGAGGAACAGGTTGTTGCGGTGGTGTAGCTCCCACCGCTGGACCCGAAGAAGAAGATGCAACAGTCTGTGCGGCTGCTGCAGCCGTACCACTTGGCTGTGTGCCAGCTTGAACTGGAAAGGGGCCTGACATCGCCGATAACGGCAACGGCGATTGTGTTGGTGGCCTGAATCCTGGCTTTGTCAAAGCATCCAGGATCTGGTATAGAGTGCTTTGCATGAAGTCAAATCTGTTGTCCACATGCGCATGCAGCGACAACATATTTTTCTTCAACATTTTCAGCGGGTCAGACAATGCCGACTCATCCAAGCCCTCTAATTCAGCCTTGTCAGCCTCTAAAGTATCAAGCCTGGCTGCTTTTTTCATTTCTCTTTCTCTATCGGTAGCATCTTTCAGGTCCTGCTTTAACTTCTGGCGGAGCCTCTCGACCTGTTGGATCTCTCTGAGCTCCCTCTCACGTGGGGTCAACGGGCTGAACTGCGAGCCCGCCATTTGACTAGAAGACTGTCTAGAACCTGTTGAACCGGAAGTGCCCGAGGAACTTGTGGAACTTAGTGGCATTCCCAAATGAGTCCCATTAGTCTCTGATGAGGACGCAGACGATGACGCAGCAGAGCTTGCGCCGTTAGCCATCGCAGCTGCTCTGGCTGTTGTTGCCTTCTCTCTTGCTGCTCCGTTTGCTTCCTGTAGTCCTGCTGCTAGAGCACGGGCTCTACGTAGCCGTCTTTCTTCTCCCGGTTCTAAGGCCCGGAACACGTGCGGTACCCTTAGTGCCTCTGCACGTGTTAGTCTCCTATCGTCAACTCTATCATCAACACGGTTTGACCCACTCATTAGCTAGGCAGATAGTATCTGCACTAGAATCCCCTAGTGGAATCCTACCACAACATGTATCTGACCGACACCTAATTTTCTAACAATAGTTGTGTCCGGCAAGTCCCCTACTGAACCGATCAAGTGGCATGACTACAACATTCACACAGATTGTCTACATAGTCTAGATGTACCCTGATTGGTTCACTTACAACAGCATTAAACAGAACTGGCTATGGTAGCATACAACAGTCCTAATCTGATCTGTCTGTGAGGTTAGCAGTCCGTCCACCAACTAATCAAAAGTACAAAAAGACAATGTAGCAGATGTATGATGAGTGGGTATGGTTGTGTATTCAGTTGAGCACCAATTAGAACCTACCCTCTCCTCAATCCAACATACCGAACAGCATCTTTGAGCGAGCAGTGTCTTCATGTGTGTATCGGCCCACCCCTGGGCCCAAGTCAAAGCCGAGCAAGCCAGCCAGTCCACTCTTATTTACCCTTGTACGGAAACGAGCCTTACACCCGATTGATCTGGCTGATCGGGAGGAATTTATAGAGCGCCCCCATCTCTTCAGGAATTCTTTAACGTCGCAGTCAGGACGACGATCACAGCCAGATTCAACCAAGTCCCCAACCAGAAATGTTTATAGACGGTCTGGTAAGCATCTCATAAAAGGCTGGCACACCCGGCAAGACTTCTATTTAGCGCAGCAAGTGCCATAATGGACAGCAGCCATCGCATGCGTGACCTACTACCATTGGGTTGGCATGGTGACCGTGACCCAGTGCTTCGACCAGGGCCCTTCATAGGCACCGCCCTTTCTCCTTCCAAATGCTCCTGGGAAGATTGTCGTCTCTCAAGGTAGMGCGCTCACGACACCTCACCAAAAGAGAGGACTCTCAAGTTGGACTCACTTCCTCGCGGTAAGAAGAGATTGAGAGAGTAGATAAGGTAAGGGAACAACGTACCTGGAGATAGCTGCCCCCAACCACAGATTTCTCACCAATTGAGCTGAGTGTGCATTTGATGACCGGTCTTGGCTTCGGTACCACCCACAACGCAATGCAGTGCCACCTCTGCCAAATGCCACATCAGCATGCTCTCATCACCAATCATACATTCCGCAAGTCACCACGGCATACACTGTTGTCTTAGCCTTTCGGCGCACCCCTCTCTCTCCAGGGTGTGCGCCTAATGTGGCCTGACGTCACAAGTACCCACTGCGAAGAAGCATCATCAACGCACCAAGTCTGTATAACGTCAGCGTGCCAAAGGTAAGTGGCGATCAAACCAGCTCCGATACCAAATTGCAAGGAACATGAATATGGACGAAGCACAGAAATCCAGTTTGCAAAATCACACTGAAGTCCATGTAGTCAAAGCCAAAGCAGATAGCACAATGGAACCGAGTAACCATCCATTTGAGAATGATACAGAAGAATCGTGAGTCAATGTCCAAGCCCAACAGGGCAACACCAAAACAGCATAACCCAATGTAGCTCTCTCTTGTGAATGGCGCCAGGCGCCCTATCTACTCTACAGCCTAACCTACAACTACAGCAATGAAAGCAACCGGACAACTTGACTACCAGCGAGTGATGATGTCAACACCAATGCCGACCTCCACCTCCACCAGGTACGTGTCCTCTTCACCCACACTCTCCCTTGTTACCCGCACAGCGCCCTTCACTTCCGAAGAACCACCTTCGCCCTTCACCTCCACTGCACCCTCATGCGGCCCGGCTATGGCCGCCAGTGCCTTGTGTGCAGGCAGCGCCCTACCGCCTAGCGCTAGCCTGCTTCCACCCAGCGCAGCGCAGCTCTGCACAGCGCAGCACACATGCATTAGCGCAGCGTGCCCGCAATGCCTGCATTGGCCAAGATTCCTTGCCCACTCGCCCTGCTTGCCTATATGCCAGTGTTGCGTGTGGGCGGCCTCCCTTCATCCTGCATCTGGGCTCCAGTGGCTGAACGCAGGCCCGATACAGTTGAGGCCCGGGGCAGGCAGTTGCGCCTCTTTCATCAAGGCCTGCGGCCAGATTCAGATAGTGGGCCGATTTCCCTTTGGCATTTTCGGCCTCTCTACCCAGCATGCATTGTCGGCCTCACGTTCAAGTGCCCAGGGCCTAACTAACTCAGAGGCCCTGGGATTTCCACATTTGCTGAGATCCGAGACTCGGTGCACTCCAACCAACTCGAGTGCTGCAACTGTATGGTCCCCACTTCGTGAAATGTTGGCACAGAGGGCTCTTGTTGATTTGCTGGCCCGCCTTCACTTCGGGCGGGCACGAGGCTTGCTGGGGCCTTAGCCCAGAACATGTACATCATGGCAAGGCCCCTACTTGAGGGCTCAATCCTCACACTGTAGACAGCAGATGGGAAAAAAAAGAAAAAAAAAAGAAAGCGGAGCACACAAAGGTAGGGTATATTCTTTAAGAAAAAAGAAAAAAAAAGGCAGAGTATATTCAGAAAAAGAGGCGCTTGTGACGAACCGGCATGTACAGCAAACTGGCATTTCCTTATGGGCTTCTGGCAAAAGTTACAAGACACCTATCATTCACAATCACAACCCATCAACAGACAAAGCAACAACACTGGACATGTTAGGTATCAAGCTGCACAACAGCAACAACAACAAGAAGGTGGGGGGGGGGGAAATCAATATTACACACACAAAAAAAAAAAAGACAAGCTGGGGGGGGAAAAAAACAAGAAAAAAGAGAAAGCAAAAGCAATCTTGTTGTGCGTGATCGGTTCCTAACTTTCCGTTGTTTCTGATAAACAGCTCAAGTTTTTCAAGACTAACACGTTGTCATCCGAATAGAACACCCCGTCATTGTCACTGTATCTAGACTGAAAGTTGCCCCAAATACAGCTATAATGACAGGGTGTCCTAGTGGGGTGAAGATGGTAGCATTCTAGATAGTCTTTATAATAGTTCTAACTTATAAACTTTATATTACAAGATGACCTGTTGCAGCTTCGCTCGCAAAAACAAATAAGACAGGAACTGCCCGCACACACACACACGCACACACACACGCACACACACACGCACACGCACACGCACAAACACAAAAGACGAAAAAGAAAAAGAAAATGAAAATGAGATCGCACCATGTGCGGGAGCTACATTATCCGTGCGCCTTAGCCCCTCCCCCCAACTTCCCCCCTCTCCCCTCTCCCCTCTCCCTCTCTCCCTCTCTCTCTCTCTCACACACACAAACAAACATAAAAAAGAAAATGAAAGAGACAACCGAGCCACGTGGCATGCCTTTACCCCCCCCCCCTTCCTTCAAATGGTGCACCCGTCCCCCTTTCCCCTGATCCCAACTCCCCACAATGACTACGCTTCTCCCCACAATGGCTGAACTTCACCCCACAAATTGCTGCACTTCTCATTTGCCCTGACCTCAAATCCCCGACTGCCACACCCATCTTCTTTTTCCCTTGACCTTCCTCCCCCACGGCCTCCTCTCCCTCCCCACTGCATTACGATCCCTGGTCATACACCATCATCATGTCCCACCGTCATGTCCGCCTCCACTTCTTCACGAAGTTGTCGTGGCTATGCTCCCTTCCCAAATCAGAGTCAGAAAGTAGAGAGAAACGAAACCACCATTCCCTGCTCCCCTTCCCCCTCGCCCCCCCCTTCCCTATCTCTCACACACCCACACAAAATAAGAAAACGACAAAAAGGAGAAAATGAACAAAACGATCAAGCCACATGGCTGTGCCATGTGGGGTGCCTTTAAGCCCCCCCCCCCCTGACTTCCCCCAAACCCTCGCCACGGGGCGAAGCACGTGTCCCTTCACCCACTCCCTTCCCTCAATTGATGCACGCATCTTCCTTCCCGTGTCTCGATATTCTTATTGATGTCATTATCAACTTACCTTGTCATCGTAATCATATCCCTTATCTTTCGTCTTCCTCAGCATCTTCAACGTCGTCTTCATCAGAAAGTGTGGTTATGGTGGGGTACTCTCTCTCTCTC